GTGGGTGAAAGCCAGGCATGAAGCAGGAATTGCAGCAAAATGGGGTATCAGCTGGAATGGCAATTGTGAGATAGATGCAGGGGTGCCTGAGGCAGGACACCAGGAATGGCATCAGAAGTGAGGAAGGTATAGCGGTTATAGTGGGTTTTCCACTCAAGGCAGTGGTCAGTGTTTTGCAGGGCCCTAGCTAGAGAGAGCTGTCTTCCACCTTGGGCTGGGGGTGGGCAATTTCCATGCCATCCATTCCATTAGCCTGCAGCCCATCAGGCTGCAGTAGATGGCAGCTGACTCCCTACCAGGGGTGGAGTGGGCCATTTGAGAACCCGAGAGCCAGATGTTTGCTGCTGATGCCATGGTAACCTACCCAGTTCATGCTGGGCAGTCTCCCTAGCCTAAGTGGAACTGCCTGGCCTTGGCATCCAGGCCTGCATCTGCCTGCCTCAGGGCAGGCTCCTGTTTTCCTCTGCAGCTGTCCAGTTCAGGGTCTGTTCGAGCATTGTCTTATGGTGATGCAGTTTCTGTACCAGGCTAGGGCTGATGTGAATGAATGAGGGGACAATAGGATGGAATATTTCAAAGTGGAACACCTGGAAAAGTCGAGGACATCCCCCATCCTGTGACTGGTAGACCAGTCCCCAGCAGGCTGGGCCTCAGGCTCTTGTGGGACTGGCCAAGATGCTCAAGCAAAACTTCCCCCAGGAGTCACACTGTGGCTTCTCCAGAAGCTCCTGACTTCCTGTCACTTTATTTTGGGTCAGATGACTTTGGCCAGTGCTTGGTTGCTCACTGTGGCACTTTGGATACATTGCCCATTGGTGGGAGTCTGTGCAGCTCACTTTCTGGAGAATCTGTCCTTTATTCCTGTACTGGGTATGATGTCATGGGGTTTCCAGAGTCCTCGACCTCAGCTGAAGCCAGCTTGCTGTGGCCAGCCTGAACCCCTGGCCTGTGAAGTCCCCCGAGGATGACACATTGCTTGCCCTTCTGATGTTTTCCTGATCATGAAAAACCAATCACACCCCGCCTTCCATATACAAACACATACCCTGGAAAAAGAATCCAGACCATGCAAAGCTAGAGAAACTTTTTTCCTGATTATTTTTTCCTTTTTCAGCAAGGACATCGATATATTTGAATCATGTGCCGACAGTAATTAAAAAGCACATAACTAGTCATTTTAAAACGTAGTTGTTTTACTTAATTGATTTTGCTGCCAGACCCAGAGGAAAAAAAAAGAGGAATTGGGAAAGAAAGCTCAGAAGAGAGACAGGTTTCTGCGGGCCTGGAGGCAGCGAGGGCCATGCTGGACTCTAATTGCTGCAAATGCTGCCCTTTGTTTCTGCTAATGCTTTTCTGCTGAAAGGACCGGGGACCAGGCCTGATGGCAGGGGGTGGCATTTGTTTCAGCTGGATGGGGGTATAATTCTGCTTTTGGGACAGGGTCTATTTTCCTTACTATCTATCAGTGTAAAGCACTTCCACCGAACATTTTGAATCAAGGTTCCATTTAGAGATACTTTATTCATATTTAATTACAGGCTGCAGCACCAATCTTTAATTACCTTTTTTATAAGCCAGCTAGGAACATCCACTGGCAATCAATTATTGTTGTGTGTTTGTGTGTGTATGCACAGGAGGGTGTGGGTGTGTGACTGGCTTCCTGAGAGAGGGAGAGGGTAGCTACAGGGGGCGCAGGGGAGGGGGTGGGTGGGCAGGGGAGAGGGTGGAGTGGGGTGTCTGCCTGTGTCTGGGTCGTGGTACATCCATTTCCCACGCCTCTGCTTCTCTGGTCAAATTGGGGATTTGGGCACATCCATCCTTTGGGTCTTGTTCAGGGCACTGAGTTGGCTGCTGGGCTTGGGTGGTTTCTCAGGACCCTCTCATCCCCAGTGGGAGCAGGGGGATATGGGAGGCTGTCCCTGAGGATACAGCAGAGCAGGCTTCCTCTTACCTGGGAGAGTGGGATATGCTTGCCTGACCCTTTCTTTCCTCCTCCACCCTCCATGCACCGGCATATCTTCTTGCCCCACAGACCTCGTTCATGCCTTGTCACTCTTGGTTGCGATGAATGACTCTGACATCCTGCAAGCTACTGACTTGGGGACAAGTGTCTGCAGAGAATGAGCACATGTTCCCAGGGAGCCAGCAGAGACTTGGTGTGGGGGTCACATGACCTCCAGATCCCTTTGCAGGGGGAATATTGGGCCATTTTAGCTGCCTGGGAGGTGAGGGTCCAAGTTCACAGCTTTGCCCCAGAAAATGTTCTCTGGGGTACTCCTTCTGGAACTTCCAGGGTTTTCCAGAGGAACTCGGTGTTGGCCTCATGATGTAATGGCTGGGAGTGTTGCTCAAGCTCTGCCTTCCCCCTAATCACGGATCCCTGTCCCAGCAAGGAGGTGGGGAGGGGATGAAATTCATACTTCTTGGGGGTGTTCTTGAGGGTGCTAGGCACCCTTCCCATGCTGCTTTTGTCTATCCCAGCTGGTGCCAGAGAACAGTGTGACAGAAAACAAATCAAACGGATTTAAGCAAATAAAAGAACCATAGGGTCGGCGTTCAGTCATGGCTAGATCAAGGGGCTCAGCTATTGTGACCAGGGTTCACTCTGTCTCTTGACTTTGCTTTCCTCTTTGTTGCTACTGTGTGACTCTGGCAGCTCCAGGCTTGAAGTTCAATTTTTAACTTCAAGTTCAGTTGAACTTGAGCAGAAAAAAAGAATCCCTTTCCTACAGGTAAATAAAAGCAAAACAGTTATATCTGATTGGACCAGTGGGTCATGTGTCCATCTTTGAGCCAATCAGTGTGGCCCTGGATATTCAGGGTTCTGACGGCCAGGCTGGGGTCTTCCCCCCTGGGGTAGCAGGTGGAGTCCACCTTGGCAAGTCCCACGCATGACCTGTGCTTTTACCGTTGAGGCCTTTGGATTAGTAGGACTGTGGGAGCAGGAGGGTCCAGTCATTTCAAAGGGAATTAGAGTTGATTCAATCCTTCTCCAGTGGAGAGACGTGTGGATGCAGCCCTTTAACAAGTCTTTGTTTGGCACTAGTTCCAGCCCTGTTCTGGGTGCAGGGAATTTAGTCCAAACATAACAGACAGAAATCCCTGCCCACTTGGATCTGATGTTCTTTTTTTTTTTTTTTTTTTTTTTTTTTAAAGATTTATTTTTATTTATTTATACAAGCACTGGGTATAGTCAGAAGCGCGGGAGGGCGAGAGAATTCACCAGAGCCAGAGCGGGGAACAGAGCAGGCAGAAGGACCAAAGTACACTGCTGAGGGGAGCAGCGGGCGGCAGGAGAGGTCTGCGCACCATGTGGGACCCTCCTCCCGGTGGCCGGGGAGCAGCTGGGAATTGAACCAGTGCTGCAGAGGCTGCAGCAGCTTCGCAACCCAACGCACAACCACTGCGCCACCGGGGAGGCCCGGATCTGATGTTCTAATGGGGCTTCTAGGGATTGTGGTTTACTTTGGCTAATCTAAGCTGGAGTTCAGGATAAAGGGTTCTTGTGTGGAGAGACCCAGGGTGATTGGGATGATTGACCTGGGAAGAATCTGACCCTCAGGGAGCCTAGAATTCACAAAAGAGGGGAAAAAACCAGTGTGGGGTTGGGGAAGAGGAGAAGTAGGTACTGGGAGGGGTGCAGATAACCCAGTGAGCAAGGAGGACAGGGAAGCCAGTCCATACCCACCCTGCCGTGACAGAGGGGTGGGCCCCTCCTCATGTTGCTTGGACCTTTGGCCTCTGCAGAATGTTGATAAATGGGATGGAGTTTAGTGAAAAACCACAAAAATGATGACAGAGCTGGAGAGAGTGATTTATGAGATGAGATTAACAAAGTGATGGTGCAGCCTAGCAACAGGGGGAGGGGATGGTGGTTGTGGTCATGTGACTTCTGAAGTCCAAGGGGGAGGAGAGGGCCTGAGGGGTAGGACAGAGAGGCTGCTGCAGAAGTGGGGGACAAAGAGAGGAAGGGGGGCATGGACTGAATGGGCCTCTGCATGGGGGGATGTGAAGAGGAGGACAGGCCTGTGACTAATAAGACAGAGACTGTGTGTGTGTGTGTGTGTGTGTGTGTGTGTGTATGTGTGTGTGTGAATGTCTGGACTTTCCAGAACCGTGAGGCTATACAGGGGCTTTAAGAAATGGAGGGGGAGAATTTTAGCCTTGGCCAATCCTGCAAGAGGCTTTTGGGGGCCTCCTTCCCATCTGGTAGAATATATCTGGACTCTGTAGGTGTGATCACTCGAGTTATAAAGAATTTTTCCTTCAGAATAATTGGCATGGCATTTCCAAGAGGGAGGGGAGGTTGGAAGAAGGGACGAGAGAATGAAAAGTAAGAGGCATCCTTTCCATTTCATGGAGGAGGAAGGCACAGAGAGGACAGGGTGTCTGCTCGAGGCCACCTTTGGGTGGCATTGCAGGTGGGAGGAGAAAGGCTCTGGCTCGCATCCCTGGGGTCTCTCTTGGGTGGGTGGGCTAAAGATGGATTTGGGGACTCATGTAGAGGCTGCTGCTCAGACAGGAACCAGAGCTGGTTGTTGGGTGTGGAGCCTCCAGCTCCGTATTCTTTGAGCTCCCCAGGGTGTTGGAATCGAAACATCTTCTATCTGATCCCTTGTGCTGCCCGGGGCTCAGCTTCTGTTAGCTTTTGATCACCCACAGGTGAGACTCCCAGATACACACTGGTGGATAATTGAAAGGGTGGGTGATGCGTAGTTCTGAACATTCTGGACAGCACTTCTTGGCCGTAGACGGAGGGGGTCATGAGGGTCTCAAGCCGCTCATGTATGCGAGCAGGCTCCGTGCCTGTTGTCTGTGCCACTCCTTCCGTGTTCCTGGTGTGGCTCTCGGGCAGCACAGGCCGGCACTGGCCAGCACATTGCTGATCGCGGAAGTCAGGTTGGGCTGGCTCTGGCCCATCCTCTGGCCCATCCTCTGGCCCACTCTCAAGCGATTTAGTTGTCTTCTCAGCAGCTCTGTCCTTTCTCCATTCTTGACAGATCCACGATTTGTTCGTGAGCTTCGATGACACCCCTCTGGGGGCTGCCTCCCTGGCCCAGGTCCACAAGGCGGTGCTACATGATGGGCGCACTGTGGCTGTGAAGGTCCAGCACCCAAAGGTGCAGTCTCAGAGCTCCAAGGACATTCTTCTGATGGAGGTGAGAGCCTTCCCCTTTCTCCCTCATCATCCTTATTTAGTGTGTTCCTGGGATCCAGGCAACCCCCTGAAACTGGTTCATGGCTGAGGGTGGCGCGTGGCCTGTGAGCAGCAGTGGGAGAGGACGACTCAGGCCATGACAGAGGAGGAGTCTCAACAATGCCACGCCCACAGGGCCCACGACTGGGTCCATCACTTCTCTGGATTTGCTCCTGGGAACTGTGTGTGTGGTCTGGGCACATGCTGAGCAGCAACTGGGGTCAGGGGCACCTCAGGGCATGTTAAATGAGACAAATCAAAGGTGATTTCCTTGGGAGTAGAACAAGTTGCATCTTAATTTGTTAACAAATAGCAAAAGGGAGCGTGTGGTCCACCAAGGGATGTGAAAGTGACAGGCCGATCACAGAGAAATATTTCTGCAGATTGTTTGCTTGACTGATAGTTGTTTTGAATGAACAAACTTGCTTGCCGAAAGTGGCCCTGGGGACAGCTCTGGTGGGGAGTGGATCTCTGTCTTGTTCTAGCTCCATGTGTGGAGCAGCCATAGCATGGGGTCAGCACCCCCGCCCAGCCCCAGCACAGGGGAGCCTGCATGCCTCCTTTTCCTTTTTCCCTTTCCTCACTTTGGACTTAGAGTTTATTCTTTTCACTCCCTTTCACTGCACGACACTCCCAGGGGCTGGGAGGAGGGGGGGCTGAGGCTGGTGGGGCTCCAGCACCTGGTGGGAGCTGGGCTCGCGGGAGTGGTGAGTGGGATCTCTGTTCCCAGGAGTGGCCCTGCCTGGTGGAAGAGACAGGTCTGCACGTAAACAGCCACAGTGTGGGACGTGAGCGCAGTCAACCATACTGTGGTGCTGTGCTGGGGTCAGTGGGGTCGTTGAGGGGCTTCACCCGGGAGCTGGTGTTTGAGTGGACTCTTGAAGAGTCCAAAGGACAGCCGGACAGGGGCTTGTGTGAAGGGCCTGTGTTGGGTCTTAGAGGACCCAGGTGTGCTGGGAGGACTTCAGCTAGTTGAGGTGGTATGAGCTGGGGCGGGAGCAGGTGAGGCTGGGCAGGTAGGCAGGGCAGACAGGGTGCAGGGGTGTCTTGCCTTCCAGGGAGCGCTAGAATGGCGTACATAGCAAGTACGTATTTACTATGGACCTGAGCACATCTGATTTCCTCCTGTAGTCAGTGGGGAACCATTTAAGAATTTTAATCAGGGGAATGTCATGATCAGATGTGCATTAGAAATAAAAATCTGTTGGCAGTCTGGAGGATGTATGGAAGGCAGAGAGACTGTAGCCAGGGAGACTAATTGCAGGGCTGCGGCACTGGTCTGAGAGACGTAACGGTATGAACCAAGGCGGCGTAGTGGGAGCGGAGGAGAGGGCTGGACTCAGGGCGGGCTCATCAGGACTTGGTGACCTGCTTTACTTGGGGTGGGGGCAAATACTGGTGGAGTGAGGAGGAAGAGGAGATTAAAACAGATCTTTGGTTTCTGGCTTAAATGATTAAGCCCGGGTGCCTCTAGCCAGGTATATCAGTCAGGATGCAGCTGGGAAAAGGTATTTCAGAGGGAATTTAGAACAAAATGGGGCCCATGGGGGATGGCATTACTGAGCCGCTGAATGGGATGGTGAGGCAATTACCAACAGGAAGCAGGAAGCTACTGCCACCCTCAAGGTGGGGGGACCGAGAGAAGATGCAGCTCTCTGGAGCCTGGGAACTGGGACCACTTGGTGGAAGCTGAACCACAGGGACTGGCCCCTTGGGAGCCGGATCACAGGTGTCAGGTCTGTCTCCTGGGCCATGGCAGTTATTGGAGCAGCAGATTTTTGCCTCTTGTCCCCCAGTATCCTCAGGTATCCTGTAGCATTGCCACTGGCTAGACCTAACTGGAAGCCTATTGGCAAGGGAGCCTGGGAAATGTAGTTTCCTCTGAGCATGAAGGGGTTGGGATGAATAGCAGAGCAAAGTGAAATGGGTAGTGGAGCAACCAGGTGGAGTATGAGATTACAGGCAGGATTTTTGGATCAGGATCTCTCTGCAGTTCAGACTGGAAATGCAGATTTAGGATTTGTCAGCAAGGAGATGGATAATAGCTCAGTCTGGGGAGGTCTTGAGACCATTCAGAAAAGATGAGAGAGAGAGAGAGAGAACATGAGCGTGACCGCCTGTGTGCACATGTGTGAAGAAAGCCCTGTGAGGAGCATCATCACCATCATCTGGGGGTGTGTTTTGGAGGGCGAGTTCCTGCAGGGAACTGAGGAGGCCTGCTTCTCTAGGCCTTGGAGAAGAACCAGCACAGGACAATGCTACTGTAGCCCCTGAAAACTGACACACAGAGAGCATCCTGTCTGCTATCTGAGCTGCATAGAGAACCGCCTCAAAGCATAGTGGGTTAACATCATAGTCGTGTGTTTTGCTCATGAATCTGCAATCTGGGCGGGCTCGGCAGAGAGGTTCATCTGTTTTACTAGGGCCAGCTGGGGTACCTTGCCGGCATTGGAGGATCTACTTCCAGGCGCTCACTCGTGTCAGGCGAGTTTTTGCAGCTGTTGGCCTGGAGTTCAGTGGGGATGTGGTCCAGGCCTCTGTTCCCCTCCAGGTCGGTGTCTCTGTGACTGTGCTTCCTCCCATCATGGCGGCTGGCTGCTAGGAGTGAGCATCCTGGGAGAATCAGGCTGAAAGCACACCCCAGCGGTGGGACCCAGCGTGGCAATCACATAACATTCTTCTTCCCGGTTCTGCTGATGGATCCCTGAGATGCCACCTCCTAGGAGTGGCATAGTTCTAGAAGAGTTTAGAATGGGAGACACTGCTGTAGTCTTAGGGAGATACACTCTGCCAGGATCAATGTTGTCAAATGGTAGATTAGATTAGTGAAGTTCTGAAAAGGATCCTTTGGCTTCGGCACATTCTTGGAAAAGTGGTGAGAGTGGGGTGGGTGAAAGAGAAGGGAGGCTCTTACCTGGGGCCAGTTACCTAGAATCCTCTTTTCATGTTTAGCTTTGGACGGTGGTGGAGAGCGTAGCAGAGCAGAGCGCAGGATCGTGGCTGGGAGGGGTGAACAGGCTTGGAGTTGGGGGGAAAGCAGCTGGGGGTTGAGGGGGTTCAGGAGAGAGAAGAAACTGATAGATCAGGTCCAGGAGACTCAAGGGGTTGGGGCTCCGAGGACACAGGTGAAAACATTAGTCTTTGATCAGCTCTTGTTTAAAGACCAGAGGAAGGTAGCAAGGCTGGGCACAGATAAGTGTGTGGGGCAGGGGGGAGGGGGAGAGAAAGTGGGCAGCTGAGTTGTTCCAGCCTGATAGCCTCTATTTTTTCTCTGAAGTAGGAGGCAAGACCATCTGCTGAGAATGAGGGGGTAGGAAGTGGCACTGGAGGCTCGAGGTGGGGGGGTGGGGGTGAAGGTTTGGAAGAGCTGCTGTATGCCAGGGAAAGGCAGCTGACCAGGATTAGGGTGCTGAGTAGCACTGGGCACCACTGGGAAACCTGAGATTTCTGGAGCACCTGTCAGGGCCTATGGAGCAGCCATAGCTGGGAGTGAACTGGGGTCTCAGCGGTTGTCTGGGTATCCTGAGACCCATTAACCCCTCCTGGGTTGGGGGGAACCTGACTATACCTGGCAGCATTGCTCTTCTTAGGCTGGGAGGACAGCTGTTGCCTTTTCTCTGCTCAGCCCCTCACTGGCTCCCTAAGTGGCCGTGGCCATAGGTCAATAGCATTAATAGCAGTAATAGAGGTATGGCATTTGCCTCCCTGAGATAAGCATCAATCAGATGCTTCTTTTGGGAGGTACAGCATAGTGGCCATGTGTGGAGTACAAGTGGCTCCTTCCTGGTAGCTGAGAGTGTGAGGGCTGCGGTCACGGGGCATGTCAGAGACCCACATCCACAGCTTTCAGGGGAGAAGCTGGAAAGGTGACCTGAGGTCACCACCTCTGTGGATCATTGGCACAAATGACAGAATGGTGGCACTGCCCTCTCACTGGGCTTGGTTTCTCGTCCTGCCTGGCCTACTTGATCTTGCTACTGTCTGGTCACCCTTCTCTGCTCTAAAACTAAGAACTGGGCCTCCCCCGTGCACAGTGGGTTGAGCTCAACGCTGTAAAGCTGTTTGAAGCCTCTGCAGCGCGGGTTCGATTCCCAGCCAGACAGGGAGATTCCCACATGGTGCAGCAGACCTCTCCTGTCGCGCCTGCTGCTCCCCTCAGCAGGGTATTTCAGTCAGTCTGCCTGTTCTGCTCCCCGCTCTGTCTCTGGTGGGTCCTCTCACCCCCCACATCTCTGGCCTGTACTCTAGCTCTTGTGTGCATAAGTAGATAAATCTTTAAAAAAAAACACCTAAGAACTCAGTAGGAAAGCTCATTTTACTTTATAGTTGAAATGAGGTTTTTATTGTTTTTTCTTGAGTACAGACTCAAATGGTGTCTTGGTTTTAGAAATGACAACTATAACCCTTAGGTATTCTTGGCTGGAGAAGACTGATTTTTTTCAGGAGCATTAGGGCTACCTTAGCCACTGGCAACTTGGCATCAGAGGGACAAATACAAAAGAGCTTCTTTCCGGCACCACCTGCAGGTGCTTCCTTTCATGCCAACTTCAGGTACCGCGGGCCCCATGCTTCTCTCCCACTGCCCACTGATGTCTCTCTAACCTCTCCAGTCCTGTGACTGATGACAGCATGGTCTGGGGAGGAAGACAATCTGAGTAAAGTAGTTCATATGAAGGAGAGAGTGACTGATAGGCTTACCCTCTGGAAGTTTGCAATTTAAGAGGCGAGTTTGTAAGTCCAAACACATATCTGCCATAAGGGTAGAGATCTGCAGGACTGAGACTTTTGAGGTTGAAGAGGGGTCGGGGGGGAGCTACTGGTTGTATCAGTTGGCTACAGGCATCAGAAAATCTACAAGTGGTATAAATGGTAAAAATCTATATTATCTCTCATTTTAAGACCTCTGGAAGTAGCATCAGGGGATCCAAGGCTGACTATTGTGTAACACTTTATTGTGATTTT